ACTCACTATAAACATGTTTCAAAGGCTTCATTTTTTAAACAATATTAATGTAAAGGCCTTTCACATTTAAAAGACCCATGGGATTCTATAATTCTTTTTTCCTGTCAAATCATCTCAATGTGTATTAAAACTGGCAAATAGATGAAAAATTTTTTAGGGAGATATAAATCATGTTTTTAATTTTAATATAAGACTGAGAAAAATGGAGAAAATATGGGTGTACTCACTGCAAGAAAAAAGAGAGATGGGGTGGAGCTCAAAGAAGTAAACTGGTTATAGGATTAATTCAATATTCTCATGACATAACATTTTTCAAAACTTGAGAAGCTTGGTTTTTATTAATACATGTGCACAGTACGTAACAGTTACACTCATCATGGGGAGTTATTGTATGTATATAAGACATCTTAATTCTATTTTCACCCCCTTTCCCTCCATTCCTTCCCCACTCTCTCCATCTCCCGGCCCCCTTCCATTTTGAAATCTTCAGAAAATTCTTGCAAGTTGCTAACTGAAATGATTCATTGTTGAGCAGCTCTTCTGGTCAGAAAGTTATCATTCACATATTATGAGCAGAATTTTATCTCAATGAACAGTGGGTAACAGACTCATTTTTACCTTCCAATTGGCAAGCATTCCTAATATGTCTATGAAGTTTTTATTCAATGCAAGCCTTGATTGGTATAGAAACATGGAAGGAATTTTTTTTTCATTTTATTTTCTAACTTTCCTAGCACATAGTGTTCCAAATCCATTGCTTCTGCTTCTTAAATATGATGCAAATGTTGGAAATGATACTCTACACTTGATATTCATACTTTTAACTATGTATGTGATGGTTCATGGTTATGATTTGACTTTTGCTACAATCAGATGGGCTTTTCATTCTTCTAGAAAATAGTACAGAAAATAAAAGGGGGTAAATAAAAGCCTTAAATCATCCCCTTTCTACCATGTTTGTTCCTTTCTCATTACAGACATGGCACAGAATAATTGCTTTCTGGAATGTTTTCATTTAGCACAGTATTGTGCTATAGACACCCTAACATATTTCAGGCCATATTTTGAGTCTCTGTTGCCTCCTCCCTTTAGCATGCAATGCAGATGTGTCGCTGGTGGTATTGCATGACTGATTTGCAAGTCTACATTTGGTCTTGAACTGTGAAAGGGGCATAATTTTACTGACTTTGATTTTAAACAACAATAGCATAAAAACTTCCTTTAAGTATATAGTTATGTTATAGTCACAGCATAGAATCGCTTAGCAATGTTATCAAAAATATAATGTTAAAGTGTTTTAAATGTCCAGGTAAATCAAATAAAGTCCAAATCTTACCTTCACTGGGGCACCATTCCTGAACGGATACCATCGTCAGTGCTTCTAGGAATAAACTCAATGATATGTACAATATAATAATCTTAGGATATATAATATTATCTTAAAGTATTTATATAAATATTCTAATATTCCACAAATATTTACTAAATGCATAGTATGTTCCTTACCTGTTTGTAGATGCTCAAATTCATCGATGAACACAAAGACAGGGATTTCTGTTTTCATAAAGCTTAACTTGTAGCCACCATGTAAATGTGAGCAAACCAAAGGAGAATAGCAGCTTCCTCATGAAACCATCAGCCCTGAAGCTCTCTTCATATCCATCACTGAAATAAGGCCTAAAGGAAAGGAAAAGTTCTAGGTATATTTTTGTAATAAATCTGAATATCAAGAAAAATATCATAATGGAAGTAGAAATCTCTACCTATTTTTATCTTTTTTGTGTTTTATCTTCTTATTTAATTAATTACAGGGATTTAAGACATTGGCAAGTGACTTATTCTCCTTAGGTCTCATACATCTTCTCTATTTAAAAACATGATTATGATAATACTTTCTATCAAACATTTTGAAATAGCCATTGGTCATATTAGTGATAATCTGCCTTATCCCAAATTGATATGTACATAAGTATTTTTATTCTTTGAGAATATTAGACAACAAACTATGCATGTGGAAGGGCAAGACAGAATGATATCAAGTGTGCTTACTACATTTAACGTGTGTTTGTGTGTGTGCGTGTGTGTGTGTGTATGTGTGTGTGTGTCTTGTGGGGATTGAATCCAAGGCCTTGTACAAACTAGTTAAGTGGTCTAGCACTGAGCTACATCCCCAGCCCTGATGCACTCACCTCTTGAAATACTTCTGTAATATAAGGCATGAGTATGCTTTCATATAATGTGGTAAAGGCAGACTTAGCTCAGGAGTATACAGTCTTTCTTGAAAGACAATACAAAGAAAATAAGTTAAAAAATGTATAATAATTTATGAGAGAGGACAATGCATTGTTAGACCTAAGTTAAATATGAGAAATGACAACAAAATGGTAAAAATGATAAAATGAGAATGGCACTGGAGTGCAAAACCTATTCATACTGAAAAGAGAATGAATACTTTTGTGAGACAAAATATATTTTTGGATCTAAAAGAAGAATTCATCTAAATGAAAACCATTGTAATGGCTCATTCCATATATCAAGTGTAATATGTCCTGGCCAGTAGCCTATAGTAACAGTGGTTGCCTGATCCCATTACTGTGAACTTTATTAAATGAAAAGTTCTGTCTAGCAAATGCTTACTCCAGTCTTGCTATGGAAGGGAAAAAAAAGACAAAGACACTCTTGTTTTAGTATTATCATTTATGAATTACTGCATTTAAATATGATATAAGCTACTTTTAAAATATGGGGTGTTGAGGTTCAAAGAGAATGAAGTTTCGAGGAGCTCATAATAGTAGCAACAACTTTCTTCAGGGACTAAAGGACTAATATTTGCAGGTATATGTTAGTCAAGATAGAATAGTGAAAATAGAATATAGAAGTGAAATAGTGCACGTTAAAAAACCCAATTTTATAAATAATGTGAGTATATACAAAATGGTAAACAATTGGTCTTCATTAAATATGTGAGAAATTCATTGTGATACATTCATTGTTTCGAGATGCTACTCCTATATATAGATATTTTATAAACAGTGCAGATAATATGATGATATAAAAGGAAACATGTAATTTCAGTAAAACAGCATAAGGTCCAATAAATTCTGTTAATAACTAGTATGAGAAAGAAAGTTGATCAAAACTTTAGAGGCCTTGGATCTGTGTAGGAATGAGATTTGCAAGTTTGTAATTTCATTGTTCACTTACTAGACAGACTTGAGAGTGTAATAATTAACCTCAGTCTATTTATAGAATTTTAAAAACATGGTCATTCCTGAGAGCTCTGGGTTGCTTATCATACTGCTCTTGGAGTTGACAAGGTCACACAGAATTCCCGTGTGAAGACAGAACCTAACCTCAAGGTCCAAATTCCTGAGGTTGCAGTGAAGGTACACTGGCATGAGAACGTGATAAAAGAGCAGCCTAGGCATTTTATCTTCTACAGATCCTCCAAAACAGCCCTTTGAAGGCGTTTTTTTACCCACATGCAATTCCATTCCCTTCCATTAAAGATTGCTCAATTATCTCAACAGCTTCTCTCAGAGTTAAGTGAATTTACCCTGGTGTTCTAAAAGGAAACCAGACTCTGATGAGTTGCTAATACACACTTACTAACCCATGACCAGGTCACATATAAACTTGTTTGTAAAATTTACTGGGATTCTTTGCTCTGTGTGCTTTTCTTCCACTCCACTCTGAGTCATCTACTGCACTATTCACGTGGCTTCATTCTGTAATAATCAACATCTGTGACAGCATCTTGGCCAAAACAAATAAAATTAACCAGATGATTCTGTGGCTTATGCTAAACAATTTTTTAAACAGGTTCAGATTTCTTTCTAAGGGAGTACAAAATATCTCCATATGCTGGTTCTTGTTTGTTTTTGTGTATATGAGAGAGAGAAAGAGGAATACAGAGCTAGGACAGAGACATAGAGAGATCATAATTATAGAGTTACCAAAAGTTACTCAACACAGTTTTGCAAATTATTTTTTAATTAAGAGATGTTTTTAGTACAAATCACGGGGCCTGCTTTCTCATAAAAGAATTTCAATATATTATCTCCAATGTTTTTCTTCCTATAACCAAGATGGAAGCCAGCCCTGTTAATTCCTGTAGAACCTACTGGAAGGGTTTTGGTAATTAATGTTATCAGTTTCGCCCCTGGCCATAGTAAAACACTATTATTCCCTCTTCTGTCTTGCGTGAAACAGAATGTACAAACACTGGGGAACAGCAAGGAAGGGCTGACTCTTTCCATTGCATCACAGATTTCAAACAATCAGGATACTCATGTTGACTAAGTCAGGACACTTAAAAGGCATTTTGTCTTATTGTAGCAATTACATCAGGTTTCTTTCAAGATCTTATCTTTGTCTTTTCACTTACACATTATGTCCTTTGCTTTTAGGTGCATTTGTCAGTGGCAGTATGTACTTAGAATTTTCTTCTATTATCTGCTCTGCAAATCTTTGCTCTTACAGGATCATTTATTCTATTTATCTGTAATGTAATTTTAGAAGAATACACTCACTGAAAACGGACATTGGTGAGACTTTTAGAATCAGGTGACGTTGCCTTCAAGAGGACTTGGCTTTGTGTCTGGGGACCCTATCAATCTGAGAATTCTTCTAAAATTCATAATTTAAGGAGACTGGAAACACTTATCCCAGTCTGGTATGTAAATCCTTAGGGACTGTTTATTACCTTTTGTTATCTCGTATATTCATATATTCCCTATCTAGGTGCTATGCTTTGCAAATGATTTGCCCCCACTAAAACCCCTGCTGAGGTTTTGTCCTAAATATAACAGTGATGGAAGGTTGTAGGGCCTTTAAATGATATTTGAGCTATGAGGGATGAACCCTTATAAAGGGATTAGTGTGTCTTGTGGGATGTGAACAAAACTGGATTAGTTGCCCACAAGAATAGGTAAAGCAAGCCTGTCTTTCCTCTTGTTCCCCTTCCATGAATCTTTACTTCCCCTTCTACTTTCTGCCAGGATTTAAGGGAGCACAAAGCCCTAGCCAGAAGCCAAGCAGATGCCAGGACTGATTTCTTGAACTTCTCAGCTTCCAAAACTGTAAGCCAAAATTTAACTCCTATTCTTTATAAATTTTGGAGTCTAAAGAAATAGAGCAACAGAAAATGGGGTAAAATAATCTGTAACTCTGTGATGACCCAGCTTAATGATGGTAGGATCTTTAATACATTTCTCACCTTTGTGGACCCAAAATCTCAACTTTGTCCCCATTATTTTTTGAGAGCTCAAAATAAGAAATACAAACCTGCTTAACTGACCGATTTCCTTGGAGCAAGAGTAGATTTGTTCCTGGTGCCTGCTCACATATCAGGATTTCTACTTTCTTTACAATTTTGACCTAAGAATTCCCCATTGGCTCATCTACTCTTCAGTATTTTATAAAGACATTAAAAAATACATTTACTCTCCATTGTTAATAACTTTTGAAAAGGATAGGTACAAATATTCCCTCAATATAAGGCAACATTTTAAAACATTATAACATATCTACTGCTTGATGAATAGCTCTATCTTATTTGTGAGTACAATTTCTACTATACTTGCCCTAAAGTCATTGTGTGATGTACTGAAACATTAGTAGTCTAATGGATTTGAAGTTAATGTGAGCATTAAAAGTAATTTAAATTGATATCCACACACATTTATTAACATGTTGCCACATCTAATAATTAGATTAGTTTCTAATCTAATGTAAATAGTAACAATGTTAGCTAGCTATTTGGTGTTTTTGCTTTTGCTTTAGTTTTTGTTTTTCAAACGAGGCCTCAAACTCCTGGGTTTGTTTATTACGCCTCAGTTTACTGAGTGTTGGACTACAGATAAACACCACGATGGCCAACTGTACTTAGTCTTTGATAGCATAATAATACCTATCATTAAGTCTGAGCTTGATGTATGCCAAGTATGTGTATTAGTTCACCTAATCATCAAACCCTAAGGCATGAATCATTATACAAAAGAGAAATTGGAAGGACAGGGAAGTTAAGTTACCTAAAGTAATGTAATCAGTCTGTAAAAAAGAGAAGATTTGCCCCCAAAATCATGCCCATGTTCTTAACTATATAAAATGATTGTCTTGACATCTATAAAAGAAATTTTATTAATTCATAAGAGACTGGTAAACCATTGCTAATTGCAATTATTTTTCATATTCCTGAAAATCCCAGTAATATAAGTTTATATTTTCATCTTGTCCTGGAAGAGATTTTGGGGGAAAGAAAGGGATTATTTTCTTCAAGAATGAATTTTAAGACCTCAGAGATTTTATTAACTTTATGTCTATAATGACCGATACTTATAGCAAGTTCACTAAATAAATATAAAGTTAAATATTATAAATTTTGTAATTTCAATTATTGTAAAAATAGATTTACATTTTATGATTTGATCAGCAGAGGTTTTTTTTTTTTAAAAAAGTACTGTAACTTACATGAGAACTTTGAAGATCTCCAAGAAACTTTTGAAAGGAACCCTATTCAAGGAGAACCAAATCTCTCCACATAAAGACAATTCTTCCCATGAAGAGTTTCTGAGTCATCAACATAGTACAAAGACAGTCGTAGAAGGTAAGTATGAATAAATTGTGATTAATTCTAGCCAGTAAAAAATATTACACATCATGGAAAAGAATAGTGAACTGCAATAATGTTGTCATTTTTTATTTATAATATCCAGGGGGTTAGAATTGATTAAAAATCATGTGCATATGTAATAAAAAGTGAATTTCCCCAGGAATTTGGCATCTACCAAAAAATATTCAGTCTTTTAAAGAATAAAAAAGTAAAGGAAATAGAAAAATTCCATCAAATTTTCCAAACCATTTCCAAATCCTCAAATACCAAGATATTTGAAGTAATTCCTGCCATTTGGCTGGTAAATGAATTGGAATTATGTGGAAATCAATTGTTGTCAACGGACTCATTAATTTCCCAAGAATTGGTCAATATTTTACTTTCATTTTTTGGAAACACGGTTAAAAAAATTTGACTAAAGTTGGAATAGAATTGTGTTGATTGAAATAATTATTTGTTTTCCTTGAAATTTTATGGAAGTAAGTAATCCAAAAGAAAGTTCTCAGATCACTTTTTTTCCAGTGGAAATAATCCTAGATTCAAAATATTTTATAATACATTACTTTTCAAAACTTCTGGGTCTAGGGCCCAGATTCATGTACATACAAAACAAGCACTCTACCCTCAGTCCTTAAATATGAATTTTTAAATGTATATTCCATCAATATCATAAATTCAGATGAATGTATTTGCTTTCCCTTTGGTCCTTGAAACTTGTCTTATAACTCCATCGCTTTTAGTTGGTATATTTATCTTATTTATTTGCGGGGGGGTACTGGAGATTGAACTCGGGACTTTGTGCTTATCTGGTCCAGCACCACTAAGCTACATCCCCAGTCCAGTATATTTATTTTAAAATCAGAATAAATACTGAATTGTTCCTAGGGAAAAAATAATACAGTTTTGGTAAATCCTCTGGCATAGTTATGTTTTATTTCATAAAATATAATTTCCAGTGTTATTGTTATTTTTAAAGAAAATCTACAAAGCTGACAGAATTACCTTGAAACATCAACAAATACAGTCAGTAACTCAAATGATGTTAAAAGATGATTTGGTTGTGTTAACAGCTTTGAGAATATTAAGGACATTCATATTTGTTGCTGCTATTATAGTTTTAGTTTTACTTTTTGCTTTATTTAAATAAAGAAGTTACCAAAACAATTAGGTATATTTCTAGGGGAGACTTCTTTTTTCCATGTGTGTCAATGAGAATGTGAATAAGTCATCAGTTTCTGTCAGAGCTTTCAAAATGTCATTGCTGTAGTTTTGCAGGGGCAAAGAAATGGCCTGATATCTATGATGTTGGACTTAACATTAAGAAGAATGGTATATGTCTAGTTTTAAAATTTCTAATAAGTAATGAAAATATACAATTTTTAGTTTCACTTCAATATTTTCTAGAAAAACATCGTGATATTGCCGAGAATCTTCAACTCACCATCTATCTTGAATGCAGGTTGCCATAGGAGATGTAGACAGATATTCAAATTATTCACATGGCTTGTACTACAATGGTATAGTCTTTAAATTCACAGAATTAATGAACTATTTAACACACAGAAGAGCCTTTGAGATTTTTTTCTCTTCTAGACTTATAGATATCCTTAACTCTTTTCTCCTGTCTTCACAACCTCATGTTTACCTACATATGTACAAAGAGATTTTACAACATAAATTCTCAGAAAGATCACTCACAGAAAAACAGAAAACATTTTCACACCAGCCACAGTAGCTACTCCAACCTATCCTTTACTAGCCTCTTTTAACTTGCTCTAACTCATTCCTAAGCGTCATTTGAAATTGTATTTAATCCTCACACTTATCGCAATCCTCCACATCCTTCCCACTAATTTTTGACTGTCTTTTCTCTACTTCAAATTCAATCTCTGATTTCTCAAAACTATCACATTTTTAACTGTTAAGCAAACATTTATAACACTGCATGAGGAAAAAATGAATGAGGATGAAATATGAATATGACTATGAATATGAATATAACTGAAATATTAAAATTTTGGCCCCCTAAAAGATGAAATAGTCAAGAGGAGCTGTTTTATTTAAGTAAAAGATATAGGTGAAAGTTTTTTTTACATTAGAGTATGAGATTCCAAGGGATAAAAGAGAATCCGCTGGATGTTCAAAATGTAATTCAAGACAATTAGAAACAAATTTTTGAATTTCAGAAAATACCACAGCATATTCCATTATCTTCTTTAAGAGTCACAAAATGCAATAAACCTAGTTATTCATAGGAGGCTATCTCAAAAGCCTAGTTGAGAGAGGTACCTTTTCAAGGGTTGCCTAAAACCATTTTTTTTCATCCAGTTCCTACAGTATCCTGAGTTTTAACCTCAACCAAGGAAATACCTACATCTGAAAAATCTTCATTGATTGTTTTTTTCCTCGTCTTTATGAAAACTTTACAGAGAATTAGTCCATTTGTTCAAGTGAAGATATGGTCCACTATATAATCAGGGCTCTCTGTACAGAAAGCTCAGAATCATCTCATAATGTCTAAACATATTGTTTATTCATTTTGAGCAGCCAGATTGAACCTGCGGTTAACTAGGAAGATGGTGACTAATAAAAGATACAGGGCTTGGGTAACTTTGAGGACCTTTTCAAAATAATTTCAGTGGAGTTAGCGGAATGGGAAAGGGGAATTATTAAGAGTAAGAATACGGAAAACAGGATTTCATTCTGTGTTAGTCAGCTTTCCATGTGACAAAATACCAAAGAAAACGATTTAAAGGAAGAAAGATTTCTATTGGCTCATGGATTTAGAGGTTTCTGCCCATGGTCTACTGACATCACTGCTTTTAGGCTTGTGGGGAGTCAGTAATATGGTGGAATGGTAGATAAAGGAAAGCTCTTCACCTCATGGCAGCTAGGAAAGAAGCGGAGAAAAAGGGAAAGAGCCAGAGAGGAAAAGACAGAAGCCAAAATCTTCCCTTCAAATGCATGTTTCTAGTCATCAGCTTTCACCTAACTAAGCCCTACCTTCTCACAGTGCATTCAACCAATGAACTCTTCAACAGTTTAATCCAATTGAGGAAGTTTTAGCCCTTACTATTCAATCACCTCTCCAGGTCCCAGATCAGAATAGTGTTGCATTGGCAATAAAGAATTTAATAACGGAGTCTTTAGGGGGACATTTCAGATTGAAACCATAACAAATGCCCCCAAAATACCATGAAAAGAATAGCAGGAAATAGAATTGGCATTAAGCTACATCAAATGAATTTATATCTGCAGAAGTAGTGGACCAGAGGAAAGGTATGGATGAAATTACAAGAAAAAAAATTTCTGGATTTTTGGGAAAAAATACAAGTAATATCTCTCTCCTATGTATTTGGAATCAATTGTGGTGTCAATATAACTATTACAGTGATAAAGACCAATAGGCAGTGTGTTCCGTACTAAGGTTAAGAGTTAGTGGAGATGTAGTTTCCGAACTGGAAATGTAGGATGGATGGCACAGCTGCTGAATCACACATCCTGTCCTCCAAGACAAGCTTTATCTCATATTGCAGAGCATCCTCACATCTCATGAACAGACTAGGATTCCAAATGAAGAGGTTGAGTTCATTTTTCTGATTAACCAGTCAAATATCTCATTTCCTTTTGTAAGAAATGAGGGAGCAACAGATGTATGAAAAGGCCACATGGAAACGGGATATAAGAATTCAGTGAATCCATTATCAAGAAAGAGTGAAGAAGAGTAAAGGAATGAGATAAGGCAAACAGACAGGCTAACTGATTTTGAGTATATTTCTAAAATAGGCTGCTCTTAGGGATGAAGCTAGGACATGTGGTACTGTCTTTGTCTCACTTCTTAGAGAAAATTTTCACTTTCATTCTGAGCTTATCACTTGCTCTGCATAATAATGATTGCTTCTGTTTATTAGATACTGTTGCATGTGAATACAATGAGCAAAAGTGGTGGATGTATATCTTATATAAGTAGAAGAGATCCTCCCAGAAGGTTACTGTTAGTAGACTGGAGTTTTTATCAACTAGAATTTATAAAATGTCTTTGATGGAAGCAGTGGTTTGTCAATAGACTGTAAGTGAAAATTTAGAAGCATATAACTAGAAAGTTGTTCAGAAAGATAAAGAACATGCTTAAGAAAATATAATTCTAAACTAATAAATTGCATATAATTTTTGATAAATTCAGAAATGTGTAGCTATGGGAGAAAGACACTATCTGTTATGGTTTGTATCTAGACATCCCCTCAAAGCCTCATGTGCTCATGGATGGGTCTTTTGGAATAAATTGCATATAATTTTTGATAAATTCAGAAATGTGTAGCTATGGGAGAAAGACACTATCTGTTATGGTTTGTATCTAGACATCCCCTCAAAGCCTCATGTGCTCATGGATGGGTCTTTTGGGAATAACTGGATCTACTAATCTATGAGACTGTATTAGTCCACTGATCAGTTCAGCATAGTTCTGGGTGTAGGTGATGGAATTATCCAAGGCTTGTAGCCTGGATGGAATAAAAAGGGGAGAAAGAAGAAAGTTGCATTTCTTCTTACCTGCCACGCCATGGACTGTTTCCATCTGCCATGCTGCCCAGTCTTGGAGCCAGTTGACTGTGTATCTCTACAAACTGTGAGCTAAAATAAACATTTTATTTTACCTCTAAATTGTGGTTGTCAAGTATTTTTTTCCAGCAACACGAAAATAACACACAATCTCTAGTCAAGAGTAATAGAAGCACCAAACCAGGGAATTGCATATTATAAGATATTATGCATAATATAACATAATACAAATTCTCGGGGAAATATTTTTTTAAAGATATCTACAGATGCAAGCCAGGTAAGGGGCATACCTATAGTTTCAGGACAAAGGAGGCCGAGGAAAGAGAATTGTTTGATCCCAGAATTTTGAGACCAGATTGAACAACATAGTGAGACCTTGTTAAAGTTTAAAAAAGATATTTACATATGGAGTTGTAATCACACTCAATGCATAGTCTGTTGCTTGTTATGAGATCTTGCACAGGCTACACCATAAAGTTAGTAAAAACAAGGCCGTCTAGGAATAGAGCCTTTGTGCTTGATCATGAAGGTTATTCTTTTTGATATTTACAACTAATGAAATTTTCATTGTATAATGAATCAAAAAATTTGAAGTAGAAATTCTTCCGATGATTTCAAAAACAGA